TAACAATTTGAATGTAGGCCCCTCTTGATCTTGAGGCCCTAGGATGAAGCCTAGTTAGCCTATAGGAAAATCCGGCACTGGACACGCCTGACGTTAAACCTTGCACGCACGCCCCTTTCGAAAACCCAAATTTTCTTGGCAGCCCAAGGAAGACATACCTCTCACAATTGGGTCCCGAGGTGTGATCACGGCAACGCAAACACTGCCCGCTGTACGGATCACACTCGTCCGCATGCCCGTTGCACTGGCACGCCTGGCAGCTCGGGAACCCCCAATATCCAGGCAAACATTGGTCACACTGACGGCCATAAATCCCATGGAAACAGTGACACTGCCCGGTCTCTGGATGGCAGAAGGCATTTACCGACGCTTGTGCGTGACACTCGCAGGCTAAAAAAAACCAACGATATACAGATATCTGGATGAAACGGAGAGTCAATGCCACTCAAAATCAATGCACTTGTGGATTTTTAAAATCTCCAGCTACTGTATTTTTCGGAGTATAAGACGCTCCGAAGTATAAGACGCTCCGAAGTATAAGACGCACCTAGCTTTTGGGGAGGAAATTAATTAATTAATTAATGCCATAGTAATTGCTGCTACAGCGTGGAGTTTGGAAGATATCGGCCTGGCAGCTCTCCAAGCCTGATAAAGGCCTGTCATTGTGAAATCCCTTGAAAGACTGTCGGCCGGGACTTTGCTGGAGAGGAATTCAACTTTAAACCAAATATAACGGGTTTTATTGAGACGAGGAATCAGCTTCGTGCTTTTGGGGAGCCTAGGTCAGAACACCTTGGTGCTCTCTGAGCTTGGTGGTTTTTCTCATAGACGTTTCATTAACCAACTAGGTAACATGATCAGTGCTCCAAGGGAGGGAGGTTTGCATGTGGAGTAAAAGGAGCAGTGTGGGGGAGGAGGAGGAGAAATAATGTGGGGTCCTTGGTGCTCTCTGAGCTTGGTGGTTTTCTTGCATTACCCAACTAGGTAACATCATCAGTGCTAGAAGGGGGGAGGAGGAGGAAGAGAAAGAGGAGGAGGAGGAGGAGGAGGAGGAGGAGGAGGAAATAATGTGGTGTCCTGTGGTGGTTTTCTTGCAGACGTTCATTACCCAACTAGGTAACACCATCAGTGCTAGAAGGGAGGAGGAGGAGGAAGAGGAGGAGGAGGAAGAGAAAGAGGAGGAGAAGGTGGAGGAGGAGGAGGAGGANGGCTAAGGTGGAACTAGTACTCCCAGTGTCCTGGTGATTGGCCCAAAGTCACCCAGCTGGCTTTCATGGCTAAGACGGAACTAGAACTCCCAGTCTCACAGTTTCTAACCTGGTACCTTAACCACTAGATCGAACTGGCTTAAATTCAGCTAGAAACCAAAGTATGAAAGAAATAATCCACTGTGTGTCTGTTAAGAAACATGACTCATCTTTAACTCTTTGTAAAGCACCAACACTCCTCGACTTACAACCATTCATTTAGTGAATGTTCAAAGTTACAACGCCCCTGAAAAAAATGGACTTATAACTGTTTTTTTCACATTTACCTTTGCAGCTTCCCCATGCTCACGTGATCAAAACTTGGTCGCTTGACAATTGACTCACATTTACGACGGTTGCAGTGTCCCGGGGTCATTTGATCCCCTTTCGTGACCTTCTCACAAGCAAAGACAAGGGAGATGCCCGATCCACTTAACAACCGTGTTACTAGTTTAACAACTGCAGTAATTTGCTTATCAACCCTGGCAAGAAAGGGCGTAAAACAGGGCAAAACCTAACAGCTGTCTTGTGGGGCTCAATTGCTGTCTTAAATCAAGGACTACCTATAGTTAGATTATTTCACAAACTCATTTACCTTTATATGAGTGGTGCGGTGGCCTAGAGGTGGAGCCCTCACCTCACGCTCAGGAGGCTGTGAGTTCGATCCTAGTTAGAGGCCCATATTCCTCTCTCTGGGCACAATGAGAATATATCTGCTGAATAGAACTCTGCACTGGTGACAGGAAGAGCATCTGGCCAGGAAACAATCAGCTCCATTCAAGTTGCTCTGACTCCAACTCGCAAGGGATTACAGGGTAATTAAATGACAATATATATATATTACCTTTATATCCTCTCTCACAAACGCACACCACTTGTAATGTAATCCGGTCTTGATAACATCCATTGGCAAACTGGCGCCCACTTTCCGGTCCATCTGGGCAAGGACAAGGACGGCAGTGATCACCTGATCCCAAGATTGGATCTCCATAAAAACCAGCGAGGCACCTAAATTTTATAATACAAGGTTTCTCAGAAGGCATATGATACAGTAAATTGGTCAATGGAATATAAACTTATTCACCACTTTAGTATCTTTCTCTACGTGGTCCTTGAGTTACAGCAGTTCATTTAGCGACCGCTCAAAGCGCTGAGCAAAAAGCCGTTTTTCAGTTACGACCTTTGAAGCATCCCTGTGGTCA